TGCACTGGCCTGAGCAGTCATGACGCAGAGCTGGATCCGTGCAGCCTCACAGGCAGGTCCCAAGGACCTTCTTTCTGGGGTGGACACCCCAGCTCGGCCCCCCTGATGGACCTGCAATGGCTTCTGACAGCCCTGGGTCCCTCCGCCGTGGGCATCCAATGTCCTTGCCACTGTTTAATCTGACTTCACACTAGTCTGACGCCAGGCTGTTCGGTGAGCTAGCACACTCAATGCTGTTATTTTAACAGCATTCTGCTGTTTGCTTCCTTTGGATAAAGCACTTCAGGTGAAAGGACTTATTCCCACTGGCCAGCCTGGCTGGGACCTGACGGCTGTGGCTTCCTTGGCTCAGCTCAAGGTCCCTGAAGCTGAGTGGGGTGAATCTACAGGGTCCTCTCTGAACGTCCTTCTGGATTTAAGTCCAGGTGGGTGTGTTTGCTTGTGCACAGCAGAGAGCTGACTTGTGGCTCTACGCACATGGGTGACTGGGACTTGCCTCTAGGCGCCTGAGCTTCGTGAACTGTGCACAAAGAGAATTAAATTCACGGAAAGAGATTAGACAGAAGGATTCTGTCCAGCTAAGAGACATGGTGTTCCCTTGGCAGTTCTTGGAGGGCCCTGGAGTCTTAAGGAACTGGGGGCGCTTCAGCCCCAAGGCCGGCTCATCCAAACAGAGGGAGCACATCCAGGTGCTGGGTGGGTCCACACCACCTCTGCTTCCCAGGCTGCCCAGGGAGGAGTGGTCACACCTGGGGCAGGGGAGTGGTCAGCTTCCTTGCAGCCTCTGGCCCTTGAGGTAGATTGACTCTCAAGGCCTTTAGCAGACCCCCTAACTGATGTCCCACCAAGCCCACCCACTTCTGGGCCTTGGATTTCCAGGCAGGAGTGCTGAGCTGAATGGGGTTGGCTGGTCACGCTCATTCAGCATCTTCTGGGGCAAGTGCTATTTTGATCCCTCCTCCGGATTCTTTGATTCTTGCCTTTTTATCCCATGTTACCCTTCACAACCTCAAGGGGACACCTTCAGTGTCCATGGAAGCAGCCCAGAGCCAGCAGGACTGGGTAAACAGGTCACAGAATGAAGCCCTTCCAAGTCCCACCAGGCACTACCATTGAGTTGATTGTGACTCACAGTGACCCTCGATAGGGCAGAGCAGAGCTGCTCCTAGGTTTCTGAGACTGTAAATCTTCATAGGAACAAAGCACCTCAATCTTTCTCCCCAAGAGGGGCTGGTGGGCTTGAACCGCTGACCTTGTGGTTAGCAAGCCAGTGCTCAGTCCACTATGCCATCAGGACTCCTTCCTGCTACAGGTTTGTGGGTACTGAATACTTAACGATGTGCTGGGAAAGGGTTGGGCGAGCCAGAAATGTCCACACCCAGGACCAGGCTGATGATGTCTGTGACCAGCCTCCTGGTATTGTCAAAGCAACAGAACCGGGGGCCTGGTAAGAAAGCCCGGGCTGGGAGGAAAAGACAATCAAAAGAACCTTCTATTGATGTCGGTGCTGGGCTTGGCAGCTGCCCTTGAGCAAAAATAAACTCCCCGTGGCAGTGGGACAAGATGCTGATATTGGCACCTGCCAGAGGCAAACAGCCGAAGTCGCAGCTGCTCTGGTTAAATGAGCTTGGGGACCTCAGGGGGCTGAGCCCTCGATGACTATTCCCGGCTGTGGTTCTCAGCAGGCGGCTTACTGCAACAGGGCTGGGGCGTCTTCCCCACCCCTCCAGGCTGGGACTCTGAACAATCAGGAGTGCAGGTGGCGCATCCCGCTGAACAGCCACCCGTGCTGTCTCCGGGAGGGGGGAGTGCTCATCAGAGAGCAACAAAGGGATTCCTGGCGAGGATGCTGCGGCAGACGAGACAATTCTACAGCTAAGAAGCAGGTGCTCAGAGGGGCATGTAGACAGACTTCCTGCGTAGGGATTCACGCTATCTTCAGGTCTCCTAGCTTTGGAGAGAGGCATCTGCCTCTTCTAAAAGCCAGGGCGAAGTGTGGCAGAGGTATCGAGTGGAGCACAAGCTCACTTGGCTAGGGCCGCTTACAGGGTGAAGGGGGTTACAGAACTACTGGGAAGAGACCTGTTAAATACTAAACAACAGCGACCAAGGGGCATCAATGCGAAAGAGAACTGAGTCAGCCAATATCTTCACAAGAAGAGAGCCTTACAGGATGGCCCACTGACTACATCCCAGGATGGAGGCAGGGCAGACCCAGTTGGGGGTGGTGGTGGCTTCTGCATGAGAACGCGTTCTAGAGGATAGTTCTCTCAAAGAAGTCTAGGCAGCTGACTAAAGCACAGGCCAGTTGAGGAGAAAAACTGTTAAAGGTGAGCATTGTAGGACACACACAGGAGAACCTATCTCAAGGTTAAGAGGGGAAATAAATGTAGCTTCTAAGGACATCCAACTGTATCCCCAGGTATTTTATGACATTCTAGAATTTCTACAAAGAGATGCCTTCTGGTACCCAGACAGGAGCTCTGGCTTCTTGCTCGCCAACCAACAACTGTCATAAGTCACAGAACCCTACTTCTTTGATTTGGAGATGTTTCCCACCCTGAGCAGGAAAGTGCATAGCAGACCATATGACCCATTCACCTCCATTCCGCCTCATCTCTCAAGTCACCTCATCCAGTACACCAGGCCCTCCTTTCTGCGTAACTGTGCCTGCCTAGGCCAGTGACAAGTCACGGATGCCTGCTGCTGTCACTTTTAGAGCTTTCTAGAAAGCTTCCAAAGTCCCTGCTGTTTACGCATGATGACCCCTGAAGATGGAGCTTACAGGGGTCCTTTGAGGGATGTGAGTCCAGAAGATGGGAAGCACTGAAAGAGAATCAGGGAATGAGAATTCATTTACACAGGTCTTCTCTTTAAAAGGAAAAACTAACTCACGGCCGTTGACTTTAATTTTGACTCACAACAATTATATTCAACTTCAGTTTTTAAACACAAAAGGACTTTTTGCTTAGCCAACATTATCTTGTATTTCTTGTACCCAGGCCAACATTATACACCAAGGTCTATTGCTTTGATGAATATTCACTATCTTGAACCGACACATCGCAACCCCCTAAGATAGAATACCACTGCCCTTTTGGGTGCCCCAAGGCTGGAGCTAATAGCTTCATTTTCCTCTCTTGGGGTGTCACGTCAATTTGAACTGCTGACCTTCTGGTTAGCAGCCCAGCATGTAACCCACTTCACCAGCTAGACTCTTTCAGCTCTTCCCTGGCCCCCAGTTTATCATCTCAACTAAGTTATACATGTCTGATTACATGCAAAAGGCACAATCCCTCGGAGACCACTGTTTTTTGGTAAATAATAACAGATACATTTTTAGCTGGATCCCAAGAAAAGAATTGGCTAATTACGGCAACTCCCACTGCTCGTCCATCTCTCTTCACGAGTTCTTTAGACTGACTCAGAAACCCGTCCCCTCCCCCACTTTCCCAGTTCAGCAGATGGAGCGTTGGGAGCATCTGATTGAGAGTACAAAGAGGCACGTGGGAAATGAGATGCAACTGCAGATGGCCCATCCTTGGGGGAGGGTATGTAAGACAGAAAGAGTCTTAATATAGACTGAATCTCAGGTCAGTCGCTGTGCAGGCGCCCCCTCCTGTATCGGATGGACTTGAAGACCCCAATTTGAATGCATTTTTAAACTATAGGATTAAAGAGTTGTTTTGGATTTTTTTTTAAAACAAAAGTCTACTGAAACCACACATCACACTGGGAATATACTTTGTTCTACTCCGTGAAAAATAATCTATGTGATTTTCAACAGCTATTTCTATTTAGAGTGTTGGGGAAACTCTGATATGAAAAAATAGGTATCCAGTCGGCATTCGACAGCCCTTCTCTATTGTGCGCGCATCTTCCTTCATGTGCTCTAGTCCAGAGATACCCAGACAGTAGTCCACTATCAAAGTGGGATGGATGTGCTTCTAACGGGTTTGGCAGACATCACCATGTCCTTGATTTCTGGAAACCAGCAGGGCATAGCTAGAGTTGGCTTGTAAAGTCCTGTTCTACCTGGGCAGAAGCAACCGACTGTGTTTTATTCAGATCAACCCGTAATGAGACGCTTTCCATGAAGGCCCATGTCTAGGCATGTTTTAGAGGCTCCTTAAATTCAGGGGCCAAAAGACAGGAAAGAAGGAAGCTTTTGTTCCCTTGGCCCTCTCCGAGATAGGTGAACAATTCGCCATGTCCAGCCTTGGTGTAGATGAAGGTGTTTCTGGTCAGCCTGTCACCATGGCGCCATGTTCAGTGGCAGGCAGCCGCCTTGTTTTCCAGGGTTGTAGAAGATTCTCACGAGTGTGTCTGCCACTAAACATGCCCTCCCTGTCCCCTCTCCCCACCCAGTTTATTTAATAAGCGCTTTATTTTCAAATGGAGGAGTTTGTAACTCTAATATGCTTTTATCTCTGAAGAAAAATGAGATCTTTGTTGGTGATAGATGAGGCTTTTCAAAATTTAATTTGTGTGTTGCACATCCACACACTCATCACTGTAGGCTACCCTTGTTAGTGCTGATAACTCCCATTTCCTCTCTGGTTATCTGAAGCTAATTAGGGCTGCTGTTTAGTGCAGAAACAATCAATAGCTTTCTTCAGTAGATCTCACAGAATCAGAACCTTGTGTAATTAGTCCAGCGTAGACACGGAGAGATACCTTAATTAAAACAAAATATGCTCTGTCACAGATAGGCTCCCACAAGTGACCAGCATCCCAGAGCTCTTGACAGCACTCAATGGGTTTATTCCACGTAAGAGCCTCTTACGAAACTTCTCACTGCACCAATAGAGTGGAGCAGTGGGGGGATGTCCCTGGAAAACATGCCGAGGTAAAAAATGCTGGTATTTAGGATTACACATTTGTGTTTATTTAACATTTGGATATAAATGCACTTTAAACACCGATAGAGCTAAGAGACTATGCCTTTATCTGGGATCAAATAGCTTTTTTTCCCCTGCCCCCGCCCCCCTTGCCCAGAAATTTGATTTAACTCTTACAGGGAGAACATCAGCTGGCTAAAAGGATTAGCATGAAATGTGCAGCGTGGGCTTCCCCTCCGATCCCTCCTCCGAGGTGGGAAGAAAGCGCGTGCTCCCCAGCAGCCTATTACGGTCGTATCTCTTCTCTGTGTAGTACTCGGTCTTGGCAGGCTTCCGCGTTGTGCCATCTAACACCAGACTTCAAAAGTGCACTTCAGGGTCTATCCCTTTAAGGAAGAGAAGGGCGGAAGATGGTGTGCAGCTAGCACAGCTCACACAGCAATGGGCACCCTGCTTCTGTTCTGTGGATCAGAGCCAACCCAGCACACCTCTGCCCGTCTTGATTCCACAAACCGTCTTTCTCTTTGGCGCGATCATGGTCTGTCATGGAGGGCTTGCAAGTTGCAAACCAGTGCTTGATGCTCTTTAGGCTAAACAGCTCCCCCACAGGGACCACGCCATGGCAGCCGGGGACAATGACCACTGCGACCCCTGGGGGTGGATCACCAGACCCCGTCTCCTACCCCAGTCAAAGCTGCCTTTCCCAGATGGATCAAGTGGAAATTAGGCTTCTGGGTCCTGTTTACTGGCAAGGAAGGGGACCATTTCATGTTGCGGAATGTGTACAGGTGGCCGCTGGTTTCCGCACAGGTAGGCACACCTGCATTTCAAGAAATGGTCCCAGACCAAGCGGGGGCTGCTCTGTGTCCTCCTGCCTGCCCACAGTCACGTGATGCAGAGCTTCCTGATGGAGCACAAGGCCCGGGAATCTGCATTTGATGAGCTGGACCTGTGACGTTCACCTCGGAGGAGCGACCACTGCTAATTGAGTGGAAACAAACCCCCGGGACTTTGTATGAAACCATCAGTTTAAAAACACAAAACAAAAAGGAAGGCAGTTATTCTTACATTCAAAACACAGAAAGCCAAAAGTTGGAAGCCTGTAGTAGGAAAATGGTCTTCGAAAGAGAACCCCATGAAGGAGCAGCACACGTGAGCTCTGAGTGCTTGACACATGGTGAGAGGGCTTCTCACCGGGTAACGCAGGAGAGCAACGCTCAGTAGGCGAGCCTACTCCGGGGCCCTTGCTGACTGCAAGCCAGACGCTGCGTCCGGCCCTGCCCGGTGTGGTCGTACTACTTACGGAACTTGAACTTCAGTGAGGAGAATCTGCGCACGAACACAATGGTGATCCCCCCCTCCATTCTTGTCTCCACAGTGTCTCCTCTTGAGGCGATGCTCTGCTTTGGGACAAAAAATGCAAAACAAAACAAAAAACAAATGCCCAAAGCTTTGTGTCCATGGTGGGCTGCGGTTTCTGCCGTTAGAAATCAAAGCCGTTGCGTGAGCTGTGGAAGTCTCTAGAACTACCAGCTCAGTCTCTAGCTAGGCAAGGCCAGCGTTAAAATCATCCAAGTCTTCATCCGTATGAGCATCGGCCAGTTCGCTTTACCACCCCTTGACAAAGTGTCCCTTCAGAACACAGCATGCCCCACAGCCTTCTGGGTTTGGGATGTCCCCCTGCATCAAGGATTCCACAGAAGCCCCCTAAGTATCACAAGAAGCTTTCTTTTAAAAAAAAGAAAAGGAAGGAAGGGGAAAAAAATTCCAGTTGGAGGAAATCATATCAGCAGTGTGGCCACTGAGCTCCCAGAACTGGAATTTCGCTATATAAGAGGACAGGAAACAGAGAACTTGATTTTTTTGTCTTTTTTTTTTTTTTTAACACATGTCCGAGTTGCCTTGTCAATGCAGCTACGATGTCTCCGCCCAAGATGCAGACAAGAGGGCAAGCAGGCCTGTGACCACGGGAACCAGCAGCGGGCTCAGAGGGCAGCATGGAGGGGCAGCCGTCGATTTCGTGGTTATGTGGCTGGAAGCTCCAGAGAGACCGTCCTTTTCGTAATCACGCTGTAGGAAGGGATATTTTCATTATCACCCACTGCGCGCATCGATTTCACCACCGTGTATTTTAACTACTCTCTTCCCTCCCACCCCTTCACCACCCCCAATTCTGAACTAGCTATACCATCTACCATAGCTGACCTAAGAGTTTGCCCCCTGGAACCTCAACTCACATACTTGGGGGTTTTCATGGGAAGGAGTTAGGAACTTGGTTGACAACTAGGTGGCTTAGGCCATTCCTGGCTTTATGATCCTCTGTAAAAACGCCCACTCTGACTCAAAGCAACCTTGTAGGACAGAGTAGAAGTGCCCCCTGTGGGTTTCTGAGACTGGAACTCTTTGCGCGAGTAGAAAGCCACCTCTTTTGCCCTCAGAGAGGCTGGTGGATTTGGATGGCTGACCTTGTGCTTAGCAGCCCAGTGCACTAACTCACCACGCCACCAGAGCTCCTTGGTTCTGGGTTGAGAAATCCATTTGGGTGAAGAGATGTGAGCTCAGGTAGCCTTCCCTTTCTCTACCCCTGCTCGGCAGAATACCCCAGCAGCGGTGTAAAATGAAGCAGTTTCTCTGATGCTCCCTGTCCCTGCTCCCAATCAGGATAGGAGGGTAGAGAGTATCATCTCGGAAGACTCGCCCAGTCAAGGTCATGCCAGATGCATCTCCAACAGTGTCCGAGATGAACAGGCCTGCCTAGCCGAAGAGCCAGAGAGCAGAAGCAGCTCACTCTGCTCACCCAAAGCCAGGTTCCCAGACTTGCGGCAAGCATGGCTGCTCTTCCCAAGACTCACTCTTCCATCTCCCATCCCCATGTCCATCTCAGCCCGCGCACTCGGAACTGTCATCGTTACACAAGACAATGGTCCACTGTGAATCAAGGAGAGGCAACTGACATGCCCTGGGCTACCCCTTGGGTGCTGTGCGGAGAGAGCCACGGGGAGTTCAGGTACTCGGGGAGATCATGGGGTATCGTTTCCGTGCTATTGACTGGCTTCCCAGAAGCGCTTGGCATTGCCACCGTGGTGTTTTGTTGGAGGAGCCTGGGGCCTGCACTTCTTTCTGACTCGCTCTGGCCGCAAAGTCTGCACTTGGTTCAAAGGACAAAGGGACAAGGAGGGCAGGGCAGCTTAGCTTCCTTCAGGCACCGAAACCCAGAGCTCCTTTCTATGAGACCCAGAACAAGACACAACTTACATCAGAAAGGCAGAGGTGTGTGCTGCCTGATACATTGGATTTCAGCTTCTGTGCCTGAGGAGAAACAAAAAGAAAAATGAAAACCGAAAGCGCATGTGTATCAAGTGGAAGAGCCATTACACCGGACTCCCAACTCAACTGTCAGAGCAGCTGACTAATATGAAATGGAGAAGGCATTGCCACCGGCCCCAGCTATAATTTAAACCTTTCTAGCACCCATTAAAATAGAGACAACAGGTAAAGTTAATTTTAACAAAGTTATTTTAAATAATAACTTTAAGTGAATTCACTTAAAAATTAATAAGTTTTCAAAATAAGAAAATGCCTGACATAGAGAGACCAGTGCCATTTTCAAGGCTAGCGGCTCCCTTTGGGGCTGCATGGGACTAGGTTCCTAAATAAAATGTCTTTAAAGCAATCATTCATTTATCATTCGGCATGATCCTTTTTGGCAAGTATCTCCTAGGTTAAAAGGCTGCAGTAAAAGCCCCCCTTGGTTAGTAACAGAAATAAGTCTCTCTGCAGTTCCTTAGGTTGAGTGGTTGCTCCATTCGGCAAGCGTTTACTGAGTGCCTCCCCTTCCCCAGCGCTAAGAAGAGAGTACAGAACAAAGACAACGTGGTGCCTGGGCTCTGGGCCTCCTCTCTGGGGAGTGAGCCACTCCCTGATGAAAGCTAAGGCCCAAGGACTCATCCCCATGAAGCTCCACTCAGGCCCAAGGAAGCCCTGGCCCAGCCATTTAAAACCTGCTCTCCGGTCCTTTCAGGGGGTCTGATCTGTGGATCAAGTCCCATTTCCCCTCAATGGAAACTACTCCACATTAGGCTACTGCCCACTTTTGACAAAGGAGGGGGGAAAAAAAACTACAGTGAAAAAACTTCTGAGACCCACAGAACCAATGCAACCCTCCTGTTTCAAGAACGAAAACAATTTCATGTTAAGTGGCGTATCCAAGTTCACCAAGCAACGCAATAGGGCCAGGAGGCAGACCAGGTTTCTTCACTGTTGAATGGCACAGAGCTTCTCCCCGGCTGTCATGGTGTGTTTGACTCTTCATGCTCACTGTCCCCCTCCCCTAATCCACACCAAGGACCCCTGGGACAAACCCCCAAGATAGGGGAAGTACCGCTCACCAGCAGAGTCACCTTGGGTAAGCACCGCATCTAAATCAAGGAGCACCTGGGCCTCCCGCGCTGTGGGAATGGCACCAGCCAACTGCCTGTTGCAAGGAGACTTTTGGGGGGGGGGGGGGCAACTAGTTGAAGACATGCTTGTCTGAAATGACAGTGCATTCACGCAAGGAGTCATTTACTGACCATAATGCTACTTGGGAGCTATCATCATCTTTACCTGTATTTGCATATGCCAGCTGTGAAAATGAACTAGCAACCTTTAAACAGGCATCGAGAATAAGACACTGGAAAGCATCCTTGGGCTGTTAAAAGGTCACTAAATGTTATGTATAAGGAGATCAGAAGGGAAATTGTAAGAGAGGAATTGAACCTTACGCAAAGCTGACTTTTAATCTATATTAATAGCACACTGGGCCTATTGCATTGCTACCTCAGAGGAAGTAGAGAACCTTACATGTTTTATTTCTTTCAAGACTGGAATTGTGCCCAGGCACCAAAATGGCCCTAAAACATCACATTCTGCCTTTTCTGTCCTAGGCCATAATCTACAGAGGACCTAAAGCCCTGGCTCAGGGCCTTTGCATTCCTAATAAGGCCACTAAATTATGCAGAGAAGCCAGCATGGTTTCTAGAATGGAACCGGGCATGCCTGCCGGTAGTGGTCACAGATAAATGGCCTCTTGATGCTTTAGACCCCAGAGGTCTCACGGAGATCCCCAGGCAAGGAAGATGGGTTTTCCAGCTCTGTTCTGTATAATTAGCACCAGCATGTGGTGTTTGACCATGGGACCAGGGGGCATTAAGAGTTCATGGGAAACTGAAATGAAAAATGATAGAATTTTTCTAGGAAATTCTTGAAACCCCCTCGAATTCAAATTCTACAATGCTCAGAAGCTACACAGCTTTCTCATGCTGTGCATGTACCCTGTTGCAAATGTGTTCACTACCATCTGGTCACTGCCCCCCACCCCCCACCAAATTCCAAGATGATGCCTCATCTGCTGCATCATCTCCCATGGAGCAGCATGGGCGTTCAAACTACCAAGTTTTCAATCAGCAGTTAAGTGCTTGGTTCTGGAACCTGTTGTATATATGGTTTGGCAATAGTAAATATATATTTATAGAAATATTTATTGTTAAATATAAATATATCTACATATATTATACATACATCATTGTGATAGCTAGGTTTATTGTGCCAACTAGGCCAATAGGAACATGTGGGTGGAGTCTAGTCAGGTTGCAGCCTGATTGGAGGGTGACAGATAACTAAAGACGGGACAGCATTCCATCTTCTTCCTGCCTGGTGATGGGACCTGGTGTGCTGCTGCTTGAGCTAGTGTGCTATACTACCTGTGGGCCAAGCCAACCCATGGATCATGTTGCTAGAACTTGAGGCTGGTGGGTCCTGTTGCTGCCCATCACGAAAGTTCGAGATCCTATCAGGGTCTGATTCGCTAAGCTGCTGACCCACCCTGATGTCTGCTGCCGATGGGCAGACTCTGCTGTCTGCTTCTTTGACCTTGGACAGGAAGCCCACGTGAGTTGAAGGACTTCCAATTCCACAAACGTGAGTAGAATTGAGCCCTCTGTACTGCTGTGTGGACTAATTAGCTGTTATATTCCTTCTCACTGGATAAATGTCTATGTATGTAAGCATAATTGTCCTGATTTTGTTTCTCTAGAGAACCCTACCTAACACAATTATTAAATAATACAAAAAGGGCTTTCGTCCAGGGCCTAGAACAAGTCTCAATCTAACAGATGTTTTTTAGTGGACTCTGAATCTGTGGCTTTGGGGCTCTGCGTGGTCCCTGGCATTCTCACACTGTGTGGGCGTGCAGGATTGATCCACCACTTGTCTGGTGGTGCCTCGTATGTGTGGGAAAGCTGCACAACGAATACGGAAGACCAAAGAAGAATTGGGGGCAGAGGAGCTTTGAAGGATGGTACTTGCAAAAAATATATAATATATCATGCCTTGCCAGAGAATGACCAAATCCATCATGGAACAAGCACATTCACTGCATGCAAAGCCTGGATGGTGAGATTTCATCTCGTCTCCGGGGGTTCGTTCCTGGGGAAGACCATCATGCTTGGGTGGGCAGGAGGGTGAGTGGCAGAGAGGAAGCCCCTCAATGAAATGGGCTGTCACAGTGGCAGCAATAATTGGCTCCCACCTACAGCCACTGTGGTGGCACCTGGCCAGGAGGGTGTTTGGTTCTGCTGCACCTAGGTGAGTGATTATACGTTGGAACTAGCTCAAGAGCGCCTAGCACCAAAACACAGTATTGGCTAACTGTGCAACCTGGTAGACATCTTGTGGCTGCATCCCCAGGCTCCTCCCTGCAAGTGAGACTGGCTGGAACCATAGTGCTCAGTCACATGGAAAAATACAGCAGACACCTGCCCCTGCATCTGGGTTCTTCTCCCAAAGCAGGCATGACGCGTGGCCTTGACGGAAGGAAAACGGTCCATTTTGACCCTACCTCCCTACCAACAACTTCCCTGATCCTCTACTCCAGCTGAAAGTGGCAGCCCCGGTGCTCACCTTGGCTCTGTGGACCATTCCAGGTGGCTCTGTGGGTGAACTGCTGAGTCGAAGCAAGAATGTGTCAGCCAGGTCTCTGCACGCGCTCTGTAGAACAAGCCGCCTCTCCTCTGAACACCTAGCACTCCGGAGGCTTCTCCGTCTATCCACACAGAAACTCTGGTGACAAGATCTATTATCCTGACAGCCACTACAGGGAGATCAGGTGCCCGGAGAACACCATGGCTGCAGAGGCGCAGTGCCACCTTGCCCAGGCACCGAGCACAGAAGTCGGGGCACTGCTTCCAAGGTGCAGGGGGAACGTCAACAGCTACTGCCGTGGGAGTGGGACAAGAGTAACACCATCAGGTGACTGGGCATTGACCCGAGGGCTTTGCAAATCTGACGCCATGTGTGCAGTGCCCATGATGCGGTGAGGGCCTGAGGACCTTAGGTGCCCTGGCTGAACAGGGGCAACTAGGACAGAGCCTTGGCACATGCCTGCTGGACCTTGGGGCCAGAAGAGTGCATAGGCTGGGGATGGAGAGGCAGAGAGCGATGACTGGGCATCTAGACTGCGTGGCTGGCTGGGTGCACACTTTTCCATCCTTTCCAACAAACCCCGTGGCTGTGGAGATGATTCCTAACACGCAGGGTTAGCTGGAATCAGAATCGACTCAATAATCCAGGCACGTGGCATGAGAGAAGAATTTCCTTCCACAGGGCTGCCATCTGAGGCCCCCGGTGCCAGAGGGTTAATAGATGCATTGAGTGCTGTTAACCTCTGTTTGCCTGGAGTCAGAGTGGGGCCTCCTGCTCTTCACCCCTCCGCTGAGCATTTGGAAAGCCCAGCTCTGAGCCAAACACCAGTGGCACTTCCTTTGTGCCCAGTCAGCAGCCCCGTTGCATCCGTGCTTGGGCCCTGCTCACAGCAGGCTCTCCCTGAGTCTGCAGGAGGGGGGTCAGGCTGGCTGGCAGCACGCTGGCTCTGTTTATGGAACTGGAGACTTAAAAGGCCACTGATCGGAGCCTGGCCTTGGCCGCCCCAGGACTCCAGAGCTGCGTGGAAGCCAGTGTTTCATCTCAGGTTTTTAGGCAGCTGTCAGCCAGCGGGGCATGGGCCATTTCTCCACTCTCCTTTGCGCACAAGAAACGCCCCCGTCTGCTCTCCCTCCTGAAAAGGAAACCGGAGGAAGTGGCCCTTCCAACAGCACTACATGGTCCCGGCTGCCGCCACAGAGTCATAATTAATGGGCCTTCTGGTTCTCTTCTCCCTTGCTTTACTGATTAAAGAGACTTGCTATATTGGGAGCCCGTTTGCGTAATGACAATGCAAGCAATAAACAGAGAAATCCACCGACCGTCAAATGCAATCCGTTTGGCTCCCCCAG